CAACATAAAATTTCCAACTAATATTCCCTCATTTGTCTTTTTCCTTTCATATTTTTTGCTCAAATGATTACAAAAAACGAAAAAAAAAATAGTACAAAGTAAAATACGCAATTAATATTCAGTTCAGAAACTTCAAATGATCACTGACCTTTGTTAACCTAAAGGTAAAAAAAATCTTTGATCTGAAATGAGGTGAATAATGAATTACTCAAATTTTTTACAAATCATTTTCAGCGCTAATCTACAAATAATTGCATTCTTAAACTTTAGAAATTTGAAATATCCTACGAAGTGAGCGTGAACAAAGGTCAAGTACCACATTTCAATCAGTATCTCGTATGGCGGTTAAACGGTACATTGTCCATGACAGTCCGAAAGAAGTGAAATGTCTTGGCGTGGAGCCAATATTCGGCCATAGGCGGGCATTTAAACGTTACTGTTGATAGTTTTATTGAACGATGATAAGCTGATAAGAGACGAGAATTCAAATGCAGCCAATGTCACCATCAGAGGAGGCACAAAGGTCTCTTACAGCAATGGGATAGCTCAGTTCGACTGTATGATATATCCGTTGCATGCACAAATGGTCGCAGTGCACAATAAATGACTTAAAAACATTTGCGCAGTGAAAGCACACGTTATCGTTGTTATTATTAAATTAAATGAGTAAATTTTGACAGAGAATTTATAGAAAGAATGGTGCTATATTTTCAACTTAAGAAATGAGGTCATTGTCGGATAGTGCTTGCAAACTGAGCAAGGTTTCCGGTATATAGTCAACCTGAGAGAATTATTGATAAATGATAACTCGTAATCAATGGAGTAATATCGCTGCATGCAAAATGGCGTCTCACTCTGATTGACCCCTCAAAAGCTTCATTCCGTTGCGTCATCAACTGACAAATATTCCGTTAGTTATTCATTTCAAATAATTTGCCGATTTTTAGAATTCATGGTTTTATCTCTGGTAAGATGATTGCATGAATATCTCTCGGATTTCTCGAAAATGCTGCTGCTTATCCCTTGAACTTTCAATAGATATTTATGCAATCTTCAAATATGATTAGTGGATGATGGTGAAATTGATTTCTCATTCTCTTTCAATCGAGAATAGCAAAACATTTGACTACTTCATAACTATTTCGTTTTCTTATATTCATCTGTCAAAAACGTCTAATGTTTGTTGTACTAGAAAGAGGTGGGAGCTGGAATGAATTATTTTTAGCTTACTTTGATTTTTTTAACACATAATTTATTTTTTATAACAAAATATTTCCGTCCTTAGTTTTATAACATTGAAACTAATAATAGCGAACAACAAAATGGAACTGATCTAGTTTAATCTAGTTTATTTTTTTTTTAAATTAAATAAAAAATGAAATCTCTTTCCACTATCATATGCTTAAATTTGTATATTTGTGATGTGGTTTCCTTAAAAGAATAAGTAAATTGGAACAAGTAATGGCAAAGCTATAAAAATTCCACACCACAATAATAATATACCTTTAAATAATTACCAGTGATTTTAAGTATGACAAATTTCCTTGGAGAATTATCAAATTTAAAATTACTAAACGAATTCTTCAATACTTAGTACAGCAGAGATTTATAAAATAGGAATACAGCAATGAACAACAACAATTTTGCACTTTTGAAATTAGTTCTTGACACTTCTTAATCAAATTCATTCGAACCAACAATATGGAGCGAAATAACGATCAAAATTCTAAAATGAAGTGAAATATATTGCTGGTTTTCAGCGTAAAAATCAGTAACCGGTTCCAGACAATAAATTACACAGATATGCAAACAATGAAAAATACACGCCAACTCATCTATATGTATTGTTTTTTTTTTTTGAAAAAAAAGCACATTTTAATGGCTAAATTGGGGCATAAAACGAGATGTAAATCTTTTGTTTTTTATTTACAGCTTTTCGGTTAATGCAGCAAATTCATCTAATTTACCGGTATCTGTCACTAAAAAGATATTTATATTTTACTGCTGACTGGAAGCAAATCAGATCAGATCCGTCGAACAACTCGATTTTATAGCCATTGCCAACTTTTTGTTTGTTTATTTATTCGATTTCCTATAATGTTGAATAATTTATTTTTACAGAAATTATTCAGCGATTGATATTGGATTGAAATTATTCATAACTTGATTAATACTGGATCGAATCAAACATTATGCTGAGTTTATATTGGAAGCTACACATTGTATGTTGTAATTTTAATGACAAATGATGTAATATGAGTTTAAGATATGAAAAAGTCCTATATTACAGGACATCCGAAATATTTCCATTAGATATTATCTGTGATAGAAATGAGGAGAAAAAAAACATGGAAAGTGTCTGCTGATTACTTCATTTTGATATATTAATTTGACGATTTGAATTGATAAAAAATTTTCGCTAATATTTTGTGATAAGGTTAAAAATCTTTTAAATATGCTTTATTATTAATTGTATCAAATATAATTTCCCATAAGATTATAACAATGTTATTATTTCCTATTCAGACTTATCAGACATTATTTCCTATCAGCTTATCTTGTGCATCGTTTTTGTCATAACTACTGATAACTGTGATCTGCTAATAACACCAAATTCATTTTGATACATTTCTAAAACTCTTTATCTATCCACATTTCTAAATAGAATGGCAATCAATTGATTTATTGCTGGAATTTGAACTACTAAAATTAGTTCCAGCAATGATGAAATAGCATTTTTAACTAATCGAAAAAAAACGAGTAAATAGAAAAAGAAAAGACAAACTTTTCAAATTCATCAATGACAACGCTAGCTAGTCTGTGATTTCTTTATCAATGAAGGCAACATCAACTACCAATTCTAGCTCTTTTAGCTTCTTTTTTCGTACCGAATGATTGGTTAAAGGATAAGGTGCATACCACTTTCCGTTTAATTAACAAGAATAAAACATACTTCCAGCTCCAGAAAAAAATATTTTGAAAATTCAAAAAATTTCCCAAATTATTTTCAAACTGTCAAAAATGCATAAGCACTGTTTCTTTTTTTACAAGAATCAAACCAAATTTACATCACACCGATGGCATTTTTTGCTTCGGCATAAATGTTCAATGACTTCTCAGTGGAGGTCAATGTGAAGTTGCAATAGTAATACTTACTGCTTCGAGATTAGTTTTAAGAAAAATCGAGATAATATTCGCATAAGAATTGTGCTGTTCGATTTTTGATGAATTTATTTTCTCGTCACCATCTCTCAATTGAGAGTGAGTGTTTTATTCGTCTTTGTATAAAGAATTGAGAAATCACAATAAAATGTAAAGTAAGCGTAACAAAAATGATAGACGTTTATTTTTCTATATCGTTTCTAATCCATTACAAATTCATCAACGTATGTGTATTGCGATATTACTATAAAAATAGAAACTAATCTTGCGGAAAAATTTTATGGCAAAAATGATGCAATATGAAAAAATATTAAAATCATATGAGTGTTATGGAAATGTTAAAAATTTTTTAAATTGTTCTTCATGAGGAAAACATCGATGATGAAATTTCTTGAAACAGCTTCATCTTTTTTTTGGGAAAAGGAAAAAAAAGAATGAAGAAAAAATAGTCATTGAATATACAGAAAGAAAAAATTAAAGGATAGACATATATCACATAAGATGCAATACAAATACAAATTACCTAAAAAAATGGTTCCATATCTAATTCTAATTGTAACAGTTTATATTGAATAGACATTTGACACTGATTTACCTTATACATTGCATGATTAGAGAAGTATTTACATACTTTTTTGTAACGTGAAAATTTTGTACAGAAAAATCTTCAAAATTTCAACCAAATTATGGATGTATGTTGGCTTTAACTAACATATTTTCATATAATTCCCAGCTAAATGTCCCAAACTCGGAAGAAAAGAAATGCAAAAAAAAGAGTTCGCAAACAGAAACATGATCAGAAGGGTATTCTATTAACTTCATAAAGATTTCACTTAACAAACTCAAATTTCAAAAAGTTAAAGCGAAAGCATTGTGAAATAGTGCATTGAAGGAGAATTTCAACAGCTTAAACAAATTCTTACAAAGAAAAAAGGAAACCAAAATACTTGCGGAAACATTTGTGAATGAAACAAGGTGAAATTTCAAAAATTACGAGATGAACATACACAAGGAATTTTCACCGACAGCGATGAGATCTATTGACGAAAAAAATATTCAAAACTTCACACTGTCAGAAAACTAAAATAACTTTATAATATAAAATATTTCTATAATCAAAGTATCTTTGTATTTTGAAATCTATGTTGTAGAAATCCCTTGTATCAACTATTCTCAATCAAATAATAGGATATGCTTTGCTTAACATCTCAATTCAGTATAAGATTAACTTCAAATAACTCTCTTTGTACCATCGACTTCATATTCGAAGAAATAGATGATAGTTGGTTAATCACTGGCTTTATCCACTGTATGTCTAGATGATTTACTATTGGTTTTGTCTATTGTATATCTAGACGATTTTTTTTTGCAACAGTTCCATCTATCAAATGATTACATGACCTTTTCTTCACATATTGAATGACTCTGTGACTCCTTTGTTCAAGTACTAAATTGTCTAAGTCTACATCAAGTACCTACCGAGCACTCCCAACGAAGGCAGTATATATGGTGTGACATATATTGTTCGAAAGGTCAGTCCCACCTCCACATTAATAATCAGGCTCAACAGTGAGGCTCAAGGGTTAGTTTCATCATTTACTTTTCTTCTGCTACGATTTCTCACTGATCGAAGCTGCATCTCAACTAATTCCCACCCAAATTTAGAAACTATTATTTCAATCTCAATAATCAAAAAGAAATCTTCGTAACTATAATTGTTATATAATATTATCATCAATCTTCCACTTAGAATAAATCTTTAAAGCAGCCTTTGTCTAAAACAAATCAAAGAAATTTTTTTGACATATACAATGAATTCAAATTTAATACAAATGACTTCAGTGACCTATTCGTTCCAATTTTTTTGCTGTATCGGACAGCTCAGCTGTAACTGCCGATATCTCTGCAAAAATTCAATTTCAGTTTCTTTAAAGTTGTTTTATAAAAAGTTCAAGGCCTCAATTTGCGGCATTTAAAATACAATAAGATAATTTACAACAATATTTGCTGGAGGATGGATAATTTATAGAGAAGGAAAAAATAAGGAGCAAATTTGTTGCATGGGCGATATTTGTTCCAATAATACAACGTTAAGTCTATATGAATGCTGGAAAAGAAAGCCAAAAAACAAGTCTTACTTTGATTCGAACAGGTTGGTGTTTTTGGTGGAGAAGGTATCGGTGTTCGAATTTTCATTAATCGCTCAAGGAAACGATCCAATTGACTAAAACGTATATTGTCATGTAATGTTTCCAATGATCGAAGTGGAGGCCAGAAACGGCGAATTTCTGAAATAGTAAAAACCTTGCCCAAATTAATTGAGATTGTAGAATGATAACAACGACAATGAATAAAAAAATAAAAAAAAAGAAAACACTTAACTCCCACAGATATCTCATCTTCTGCTTTGTAAGTTTGTAACCGCGGGGCACTTGATGATCGTGCGATTACTGCAGTAGATAGAACTGCAGGACCTGCTAAGAAAAGGGCATTAAACCTAGCATAAAAATATTCAGAACTTTTTTACAGGGTGTAAAAGATCAAAAGCGTGATGAATATTAAAGATTATAAAGAGAATGGAAAATACTAGCAATTATACGGTGCGAATGAAATGAGCATTCTAATAGCAAATAATAAAATATCTAAAATTAATTCGAAATAAAACACTTACTATTGGATAATCTTCGTCGTGCTGAATCGTTCGATTTACCAAAAAGTACATCTGTACTAATTAGACGGTTATCCAACTCTAAACAGATCATTCTCAAATATTGCAGTAATTGACAATGTAACTCACAATAAGAATGAACAATATGGAAAAAATAAAGGACAAACCTCTTAAAAAACTGACTGTATGATGTTTGAAGCAATAAGGAAATCTCGATCGACGTGCTGAAATAAGAACAATCCGAATTCTTCAAAAGTCTTCTACTATGACCGCACTTGATAAATTGAACAGATGGGCTCATATAATACATGCAAACATCAGAGCTATAACAATCAGTTCAAGCGTTGATAATAAATCACTGCCCATGCTGTGGCGTATTCGAACATACCTATCCCGTAACTTCACCAGCACCCCACCCACTTAGCCATGGGGTCAACACCCAAATACTCGAAGAAATAATAATTAAACTTACATGCACCAGGAGAGTTGTGCCCATTTCTCAGATCAATATTCACTTCAGAAGTCGCAGATTCGAGATCATCCGGACTCACAAAATCCCAGTTGATCTCTACCGTTGATTTCGTGCAGGAAATGTCGCTCATCGATTTCATCAAACCAATAAGATGGTTTTCTGTTGAAGCGGTACCACGAACCGATGTCTCTGCATCCAGATCGCTTATTGACGAGCAGCTTCCCGCGAAACTTCGGGAGTCTCCTCTAGTCTCATTGTTTGCTGCCATATGCCGCCTACCATGATGTACACTTCCAGGACTGTGTCGAGCTAATTCATCCGTTGCTGAGGAAATAAATGGGGGACTTTCAAGCATCACATAATTCAGTTCAGACTTTCAATACGTAAAATGCCACCTAGCTTTCCAAACTATACGACCATACAGGTTCCTTTTAAACAAAAATAACTAGTAAATAGTGTCATCAGATCAAGTGAGATATAACTAAAGTCATTAAGGTTAAAGAGACGAAAGTGTATTTCTCGTTTGTTTATTGCATTATATGCATTAAGATGAAAGGAACACAATACTTACTGTATTGACCGGAAGCGACTTCATCAAGTGCAACCAAATTAACACTTTCATCATTTAAATCATCTTCTGAATCGTTCAATTCTAGACGTTTTTTGGTCAGTACTAAAGCTTGCGCAGAGGCTTTGCCAACAGTAAGGTTATTGAGACTGCTGGATGAGCTACTTTCTGAATGGCTTCCATCCATGCCACTGTTGGTTAGAGTTCCTGGAAATGCCGAATTCCCGGAGTCGATTATGCCCTATAAAAGATTATAAACGATAGCTTAATGATTTGTTAGATTTGATTTTCTTAAAAACTATCATAGGAATAAAAGTTTGATTGCATCGCCTTTATCAACCGATTAATAACACTGATAATGGGAACACAAGAAATAAATCGGTTAATATAGAAGTTGGTTCTTCGTCTCTTATCATATAAAATAATATGTCGACAATAAACATAAAAGAGAAATTAAAGTTCAAATGCAGTACGGATACGACTGATTGATTAATTGTTAAACATTATCGAAATAAGCAGATTATACTTTTTCACCGCCAGCAATCCCCATCGATGATAACGATGCAGTTGAGGTTGCACAATTTCGAGAGGAAAGCTTCGATTTTGTTCCTGTTGGTCCTGACGATTGCTTACTATTGGAGCTAAAATGAAAGTACAAATTTGTAGTTCAATTTAAACATCAATATAAGTATGCAAGCAATAACATCAAATAATCACACTTCGTTTGCAAAATGATACATTTTGAAACGTAGTGACAGATGGTAATTTCTGAAGGTAAAGTCAGAGAATCTGTCAGTCCTTATGACTCAGTACAGAAAATGCAGCAAAAGTCGAACTTAACTTCAGCAATAGTCTAACTGATAATCCAGTGATAAATCAAATATTTCAAGAATTACGAAAAATGGGTGTAATAAGTTCGTTGTACAAAATTAAATGTTAGCATGCTTCGACTAGCTGAGGCTTAGTTGTCAGAAAAAAAACTGACTTTGGAAAGCGTGTTTCATAGATACGTTCCTTTTCAGTTAAAAAGCAAGGATAAAGGCCCGGTGAAAACAATAGTTCGATATGAAAGCGATCAGTGCCTTGCTTTGTACTTGCTGTTCGACTGTCTTCATATATCATCAAAACCACTTGTGTCATATAATTATATTCAGTAACTGATGACAGGAAGTGCATAGCGCGTTGCCACTTCTTATCATCTACCTACATGCAATACTTAGAAAAGTAATTGAGTAATACTGTTGCTGTCAGGAATTGGAAAAACAAAAGATAAATAAATCATTTGAATTTCTAAGCGACAAATTTTTTATATTTTAGTAATAAAAAAACGCATTAGGTATTGCAGTTGACATAATCAGTAATGCGAAATAAAGAAGTAACTAATTAAATAGCTCAAACATGCCGTTTGTCGCACTTATGCGACAAAATAGATCCTTATGGTTATGTGTCATTGTCATAAGCAACATGGTTACTAAACACAGCAAGCAATAATTACGTTGTACAAGTCAAAACAAAATGAGAAACTAACCTTGCATAGACCGCCATATTTTATCAAATTCATTATAGTATGTATATGTGATTCGCTCGTAAAATAAAGGCGAGTGCGAACATGTCGAAGTGGGGTGGCTATTCCTTGGGATGCTCTGGAATGTTAATAAATCTATGTGACGAATTTCAAAGAATAATTAATGATTTCAATGTATTACGAGAATGCAAAGCAATTACCTTGGATCCAGACGAGTTTGTGTGTCATCTTCGTTCGGATTTTCGATACAATGATGAAGATCACTTTTTATTTTTTTCAGTAGTGGAGTGCAAACATGCTGCCCGATGATTACTTTACTATTCTCACTAATTCCATATTCCTATAAAGCTTTTAAACATTAAAAACTTGACTTTGAGATCTTCTTACAACAGTTCGAAGTCAATAAGAGGTAGACAAGCCCCGAACAAATTATATGAAAAAGGCAGCGAATGAAAGAAAAGTTCATAAGAATCTATGCAAAGCCTAGCATCTTTGTTCGTCAATTAAGAAAACATCAGGTTGATGGATAAAATAAGAAAGAATTGGTTAATATCACTCCGGCGAAGTAAGAAATATCCGGTGACAATTAAAAAATCAGTTATTCATTCAAATTTGCCTTCATTATTAATACACAATCTAGTGACGACCCTATCACATTTGATACTACCAGATATGCCATATGAATTTAAACAGAATTTGTTAAAAAAATTTGTGAAACCTGTGGAACGACGATATCCGCCATATTTTTTGCACACAAGTACATTCTTTCAAATTGGCCTTCATTATTAATACATAATTCCGGATTATGCTCCATGTCATATTTGATATTATCATAAATATCCGGAATTTTGGAAATATCGAACTCCACGTCACCAGTTTTATTAACTCGACGGAATTCATGCAATTCTTTAGCCCAACGTCGTTCTGCCAAGTCCCATGATTCATTCAAATACAAGGACCGATCTTGAAAAATACATTATGCATAAAAATTTAATGCTGTTAAAACTTTCGGAATATTGGACATTTCAAAATGTTTGCTTGAAACAAACTTGATTTGTTGCATTTATGCCACTTAATTATTTCCACCATCTGTTGCACGTAACTTGCAATTTCTTCGCACATTTTCCGAGGATTTTTGATAAATTCCATAGCATTTGTTAAGGCACGAATACCTGACGGATTCAAATTTTCGTGATCTTCTGTAGTCCAATCACGATCTACCTACAAAATCATAAATAAGTTTGTTTCTTTTTTACTGTATTAAGATTTACGATCCATTAGCTTGTATAAACAAGATACTTGTAGTGCTGAATGAAGGTAGCATTTTAATTCTTGTTGAAAGTCTCGTGCGTTAACGTCATCGTCCAATAGTCCATTAGTATTTGCTGATTTAACCATTTGCATTAAAATTGGTGTAAGTTCACCCTCCAATGCCAAGAGACCTTAAAATATCAGCAGTATTATTCCGGAAAAATGGCTACCATAAAATTTTATCTACTTCCTCGTCCCTCAAAATCATAAAGTATGATTTACTCCGTTAAAAAAATAAAACAATCATAATATAGCATATCTTGGCAAAAGCAGCTGCAGTCATTTGAACACGTCCTTCGTCAGATGCATAAATTTTCAAATCATGCCTGTAGGTACTATGAAGACGAAGAAATCCCAAACCTGAATTTTAATTCAGTAAGTGAAGAGAATTTTGAAAAGAAAATGAAGAAGTGACAAAATCGGAAAATTTAAAGCGTTAGCTCTCAACCATTTCAGAAACAGAAGTATACCCTGCGTATCTTCTGGACAGCTTTTACCATCAGTTCTCCGAATTCCAGGATACAAAGTTCTAAATAGCTTTCCAAGCGCTTCTGCCTGTAAATTCCCTGAAAAAACCTCAAGTTCAATGTTTTCGTCAGACTGTAGGCACACAACGACAACTGAACATTTTGAAAAAAAATGTACCTGCAGTAGTCAATTCTCCACCCCATTTCAGAATAAGCATAAGTGCTGATTGCTGATGAACTTCTTCATCATCACGTGGTTTCAAATACTTCAATTGCACTTTCCTATTGATACCCGAAAAATGACCATACCTTTAAAAAATTGCAATTTAGAAGGCAGAAATTTTCAGTGTATTACAAGTTTAAACACAAAAATACTTACATCTCAAGAACAGTACGTACTTGATCCCATTTTTTGATTGCTTCTTCACACTGTTCCAAATCTCTTTCAAGTTTAGAGGAACTGCCATCACTATCTTCACAAGATTCCATTTCTTTTAATGACTCATTACGACGCACCTTGAAAATGAAGAGCATTTTTCAACAGCTCTAAAGGAGCAAAATTATTTAATTAGTAGGATTATTCAATAATTATTCTTACTTGCTGCTCATGAAGAATTTCGCGAGCAAGTTCTAGTACTTCCATAAGCTGGTTCGGACGTTTCATTTTGATTTCATTTTTATTGAATTCATTATACTTTTTGAATAAATCGAAAAATCGTTGATCAGTTACAACAATCTGTTAATAAACATCGATAATAGAAAAATGAAGTCAAGAACTATGATTCATCATATGAATGTGAATGAACGGTGCATCGAAATATAAGAGAAATGGAGATGCGAGCAATTAATTATTTAAAGATTTCAACAGGAAATGGTATTACAAAAAAAAGAATTTATGTGGCAGAGAAACGGTACAAAAATCGGTGACGCAATTTAATCTTTAGAACTTTACGTAAAACATTCCGATAATTTATTACAATTATTCCTTTAAATGCATAAAAAATTTTACAGTTACCTTCATTTTCTGTTTTGGAGTCCGATCACCATGTCTAATAATGGCAATGACACACCGTAACTCCATTATTTTTCCACTCGGTGTTGAAACTAGGGGTGGATCATCTGCAAATCAGTCGAAAACTGAGATCTTTTAAGAAGTAAGGAATCAACTATATACCCATAAATGGACAGAAATATTTATTCATAAAAAATTAAGACAGTAACCTACCATCCTGATATGGAATTTGCCATGGTATACTCATTGTTGATGCTAACCGCCGTAATATAGTATTCCCTAAAATTTTAGCCGTGTCCTCATAATACTTCGTTGAAGTTTTGACAAATGAGAATCCATTAACATCACACACGAAAGATTTGCCATTTGCACGCAGCAAGTCGAAGCCACAAACAGTTTGCTGCAAGAAGAAAGCACTATATCTGTCAAAAAATCAGCTAATCCTGTTTGAATAAATAGAGTAAGCATAGGCAAATCAATGTTCCCATGCTTTTTGCAAACTCACCCCAAACGCCATAACTACTTTTCTTGCGATCAACTTTTCCCTGCTGCTCAAAATAACTGGATAACGAACTTCTTTTCCATGTGAATCACGTTCAACTTTTCCATCCAAACCAGGTGCTTTCCTAGCTTCTGCATGAGCATAATAAGGACCCACGGCATAAACCTGGATCGCAATACTTCAATAAACAAATGAAACATTACCATAATCCTTTAAAATATAAGTTCGATTTATCATCTAAGTCATTCACCACCTTTCATTAAAACTTGGAAACAATACCTTAACATCAGTGCCATCTGCTGGTATGAAATCTTCGTAAATGTAAGAACCTTCCCGACGAACTGTGCTTACCGGAGAATACCAACTACTGCGATTGTTTATCTGTAAAATACAAAACTTTTTGGAAACAATTATTGAACAGAAGCCTCAACTAATTCGTACATGAAGTCATTCATTTTGAATTCCTTTCAATTTTTCAAAAGAGGGACAAAAACCATAATGAACCGTTTATAACACTAAGTCACTGATTTAGAACAAATCATTTCTTACAATGCTTTTCAAATAGTTCAGTCGTATACCTTTCCCTTTGGAGATAATCCATACAAGATTTCACTAACTATTTTAAACAAAAATGTTGGCTTGCAAAACATATTATGAATAGGACAAAACAGTTTCATAAACCAAACTACAATACACCATAGCAAATGCTAAGTAGCTTTTAGTTTCAGTAGATATTTCGAATATAAAAATATAGTACCCCAACAAAATTAAAGCAAAATAGTAGTCAATTTATTATTAACTGTAAATTTCATATATATTTGATATCTTGTCCTTAACAGTGAATGAAGCAATTTTTCCTATTTCATGCATATAACATATATTGATATATTCGAGTAACACATGACTATTAAAAACGGCAGTTGAACATTTCCCAACCTGAAAATTTATACATCTAATGTAATCTAGATAATATTTGCAACCTTTCTAAACAAACGTTGCGAACCACCACCAACAGAACTTGGATAATAGATGTATACATTATGATCCTCAGCAGATAATGGCTTTTCTACAAACGGCTTATTGAACATCATTCCATTGACCTCGATATGATCGCTAAATTCCTTCAACGTGCCTTCTCAACAAAAAGTTTTTTTTAGAAAACAATAAAAGGACAAATAAATATAGGAATGAAATAAGCTTAACATTAACAGCAGTGCAACATGAATGATATAAAATTTTGAAATAAACTTGCCAACTTTTCCTTCCTTATCACGTAAGAGAACGCCATGTCGAGGATGCTCAATACCTGCGCGGGCCAAAGCTCTAAAAACTTTGCGTCGATCTAACTGAAAGAATTTCTTAAATTTATGGTTACAAAATATCATGGCTAAAAGAATAGAAGATTGTAAAAGATTAGGAAATAATATCACTATGTAAGTAGACAAATATTGCAGGATATTCATGTCGCATCATTCATCGAATAAGTGTAGCTTTTGAAGAAAATAAACTGCAAATGAATTAAGGAATTAAACTGAAATTATTTTATAATATCTGAAATAAAACCTACCAGATCATATTGTCTATGTAAGTCATTGATAACGTAGGGGTGCCTTAAACGTTCATATTCAATAGCTTTATGCAAAGGAAAATCAGTTGCATGAAAACTGATCAAACAATCACACAGCGGCCATCGTTCAACTGGTTCATTCAATATTACCTCTTCAGGGAATACAACAAACTCAAGCCAATCCTGAAATCTCAGGCTCTAAAGTGAAGATGTAATAATATTGTCCATAAATATCAAATATTGCGATATTCGAAATGCTGCATTCGTCTACTTGAGGAAAATAATTAATGAAGTTCCAAAAACTTCATAAATTATTATACTACTGGAAGCATACCGCATAGAATTCAACTATTTTTGCCATAATTTCTTGCATCGGCTTGCTTGTTGCCTTTCTTTTCATCGTACAGACTCCGATTACTATCTTCAATAAATACAAAAATAAAACAAATGTGTTGGATTTCTTCAAAATCTAATCCCTTTCTCCATTAAACATTACTCAAAAACTTGAACTAATTACTATTTTTATTTGAAGAATGTACAAAAGGAGTTTATCAAAAGCATCAGGAATAGAAAAAAATGTCTAATACTTTTGAATAACTCAGATTTAACCCATCTAGAGGCCTCGACAGATTTGAGAGCATTATTTTACTTCATTTTACCGGCATCACAATAAGAATTGGGGACAACCGAATGAATAAATGATTATAAGATAAACGTGTCCTATGAGAACAGTTTATGCCCAATGTCACTACACTTGCTTAATCTGATTTTATAAGCTAAAACAATTTCAATTTTTCTACAAATCATTTTGAAATTCCTGTTTGGATAATCAATCAATGAAACTATTAGTAAATAAAGAAGCTAACCTTCTTTGTTGATCCACGATTGGAGAATATTCCTGGCATGATATAATGAAATTTCTATGCTGCATTAAAATGGAAATTGACGATCACTAGGAATAAATTAATATGTGGTCCCAAATGATATGAATCAATTATGTTCACAGGCACTGAAATATTTTAATGCCGAAAACGTGTTTGCGCCTATCTCATTGAATAACTCAGAATTTATAATAAAAAAATATCTGGGATGGCACATTACTCACTATTCATTTTTTCTTTTTTTAAATTGATATTTTGAAGTGTTAGCAATCCCTTATGTTCTGAATCTTTTTTATTTACAGCATGCATTTTCTTCGTATAATGAATATACAGTTTTAATCATAATTAACTTCGTTCTTATTCACCACTTATAGAATACAAATTGAACAGCAGTGTACAGTAACAAAGACTTCGAAATTAAACAAAGAGATGCATACGAATCATTGAAGTGAGAAAGAGTGATAAAGATATATTCACACTCATTCATCCGAACCCAATTTCATAATAAAAAAAAATGAAATATTGATAAAAATAGATTTGTATCAGTGGCTAAAGTTGGCGTTCATAGAATCCCAAATTCAGAAAATGTAACATTTTATATTGGAATATAGTACTAGTTCGCATCTTCCCATATAAATGAGGACAGCCTATATTCTGTCAATAAATCAAATATTATTCAAGAATTTAGTACAGTATTTTCATTCCAATTTAAAAGGTTCAAGTTTCTTCTCAACATTAATGCGGAAAACTGAACGTGGGAAGCACAGAGCTATGGAAAATCTGCGAGAACTTAAGACTTGTTAAATCCAAGCCACCTGCGGGATTGGAGAAACTGGTTAGTATTATTTGATGCATTCAACAGACACATTGTACACTCCAGTCCTTCGTGGTATCTCTATTATTTTTAAAATCATAGCATAAAACTGATCTATCGGACCATTTTCATTGTTTACAGCCGTGTATGGAAATTCGGCAATTTGTAGCAAACGCGTGTAAGCTCGCAGTTGCCGATTATTTTGTACCGCATTGAAGACTGGCACAAATTAAATTGATAAAAGCAAGTATTATAGCGATTCACGAATAAATAGTCTACGAGTTATACAAAAATTTAATTCTTGCAACGAGTCAAATCATCAAACCCACTTCTCAGACCTCAGAAAATTTTTACCGATTGTCAAAATTGAAAATCCGACAAACAGAGATCTACAAAACGACATATTTACACTTAAATCACAACACAGATTATGTTTTTTTTTGACATCTTTAGTTTCTCACACTTCTCAGCTCACAAGATTAACATATTAAATATTCGATAAAAATTATACAAATAAGTTCTCAACTTATATTTCGCCAAATTACGAAAAAAATATATGTTTATGAATTCATAGATTTTATTCAACAATTTAAAGGTGATAAATTAACAATGGCAATTCAGTTCCAACTACAAATCAAGCGAATTGAACAAGTAATTCTGAAATTTTCAAAGATGGTGATCTTGCAGAACTAATTACCACAATATGTAGAGCAAAAAAATCACTTAATTCCATTACTGTCTATTATTCTAGCTCCGTCGTACTACTTTGGCGTATTTGTGCGGCAATTCGATCCAAATCTTTTCGTCCCTGAACAAAGACATCAGCCGAAAACTGATAAATTAATAAACTTGATAAAAATATTTATTTCATATGAAAGATATGCCACTATTTCACAACTGACTTTTTATTAAAAGAAATGTCCTTCGAAAAGTACTACTGTGTAGCGAACAAATTCTTCACACTTATGAGGAAACTTTCTAAATACAATGTAATTATATTCATATACATTCCCTTGCTTTCAAATATTAGCGATTATACCTGTCGGGAAAGTATTCGGCCATTACCTTCCGGATGTTTCTCAACCCATTTTATGGCCTCCAGTGTTTGAAGCGCCTTTCGAATAACAGAACCAGAAGCTTTGCAGAAGTGATTTGGTGTTACTCCTCGTCGTTTACTTCCACCGTAAACACGCCGCAAGGCACCAACTCCTATAAATGAAGTCTTATATGTAAGACTTCATTTATATTTATAATATAATAATTTTAGATGTAACAGACCGTTATATCTTGAGTTAAATGCTTTTAGAGACATACGTTCCCTGACATCATTTCATAGCAGCTTTAAGCTAAACTTGCATCAGCACAGAGACGCATATCACATATGATCAATAAATTGAAAACATCTTAAGAAAAATACAAAATGAAGGAAAGTGAGTAACCTGTTGGCGAACGAATATAAAGACGCCGTGCAATGCTAGCAGTTCTAGTGTAGTACCAATCGGCATCAAAAGGTGCAAGTTCTTTGTAACTTCCCATTTTCACGAGATCTGACCAATCAGGTACCTTGACTTTCCCACTTTTTTTCAAAAAATGCGCAATGTGTTTAACCATTTCATGTTGGTCAACATCCTTAACACTGGTTGGTTTAATCATCGTCTCTTATTATTCGCTACCCTCCAGATGTCTAAAAAGATACGCTTGTTAATGAAAATACAAAACCGGATCAGCTTTTTGTCTTAAATGAGAGAAAAAATATATTCTATATAAAATCAACATTATGTCAATGTTAATATTATATACAAAGGTGAGACAAACAATTTCTCAACAGTTCATCAATATATCAATGAATAATCATATGAATATGACACGTTATTAGACTGAAAGCATCATTCATATTTTTAAACAATAGCTTCTAAGTTATATGCAGTATATAGAAAAAAGGAAGTAATTATCTTCTAGCCGTTGCAAAACCAATATTATATCAATGTAAAAATTAGTACTGTCATAAGAAAAAATTAATATTATATATTAAAGATGAAACATGAATTGAATCTATTGTACTCATACAAAGAAAGACAAATGAAATTTTTAACCAAAAAGAAGGACACAATCATATATACATAAATAGAATGTTGTGCGAAAAAGTGAAAAGAAAGAAATCTGAGCTCAGCTATGACTGATCCCAATATGCAGGAAACAGAATCGATTGGAATGTACCAATGTTAAGGTCCATTCTATAAATCCCGACCAAACATAAAAAGTGCACCGCATGACCATCCCACTACCACTTATATCCCTATTTCAACAGAATCTGTTTTCCTTGCTATGTGGCCTGTTAAATTATTGTTAAACTCACAATGAAAACGAAAAAGTTCGCATTGGACTCCCATCCCATGAAATGATTATTCGGTTGATAGGTTTTTTTCGAGTTTCTTGGAAAGACTGGGAAGGAGCGCGCTTATGGAACATAAATTATTTGATAGTCTCGGTAAGATGAACTCAATTCCTTCTGAAGTAAAAATATTTTCTATGAGAGACAGCTTTACAAAAGCATATAAAAATTTTAAAAAATTACAAATTATTCATTATACGTAAATTATAAGACGAATTATCAAAATGCCAGAATTTCGCAACACCCGAGAAGAGTAATTTCAATTAAAACGAAGATCAACAATGTATTTCTTGCTCATTTGTTTTAAAAAAAATTTCTGTTTTCATTGAAAACAAAATTTTCTCAAACAAATAAAAAATACATTGTGGGTGCAAGAAATTCTCATCGGTTAATCATGAGGAAGATAAAATGAACTTAAATCTTTCTGAATAAAATCACTCAGCGAGAAAAGCGTCACAATCTTCAAATTAAAAAATTCCACACTGAACCGAAAGGTATTCTCCCAACTCCTTGTTTTAAAACATACTTTGAAATGCAGATCTCTAATTAGTAATTTTTTTCTATTTTACAGACAATTAAAGCTTAAAATACAAACCAACCTCAATCTCTACAGTTTAAATATTATTTAATCGGATTGTGACCAATCCCTTAAGTTCTATACTCTGCCTAATTATCTTCGAATAAATAAGTTTAAAACCGAGGTATATTTTTCACGAGACCCAAAACCACTTCTTACAATAAGTTTCACATCCTACCTTCTGTTTCAATTATGCCATCAGTTCAGGCATCTTCTTGCCTGAAGTTATGATCATCAGAAGAAATGATTCACTTCATTTTGCAGATGAACTGACATTCGAAAGGCCTCAAGTGAAAATCGTAATAATTTATTTTCACAAAACATAGCAAATTATAAAAAATTGCAAAAATGGTATAAAGACTAATAAGAATTATAAAAATTAGACAAAAGCAAGTTGTTTATGTTTCTCGGAACCACGACAAGAGCACTCATTTTTGCCCCTGAAACGATTCATAAAATCTTTCTGAAAGGTAAACAAAAGATAAACTAATTCCAAAGTGAGCATTTGTGAGCGTCAATAGCTCGCAATATAGTAAAGACGCTATAAGTAATTACAGCTATAAAATAAAGTAATACAACAGTAGGAAAGCAGTCACTTAAGGGATGATTTGAAATGAACAACAATGAAAACATGAAGCATGACAAAATAGAAATCAACATTTGTACCGATAACTTTCTCATGAAACAATCTGAAACAAGATAATCCTCAGTTGTAATAAGCTCCAGGCTTTTGATATCTATAAAAACAATAAATTCCATTAAAATTCAGTTGAAAAGACCTACACTAAATGTCGAACAAATTTCTGACAGAAGACAGTGCTCCTTAACTCCAATATAAATGAAATAAATAACAAAGCCAAACAATACCACTGAACATTTGGAAGAAAAAACCTGCCATAAACGAATTTTCGAGAAATGTAAATCGTACAATCTCGACAATTTTCTTAACTCCCCTTTAAATGAAATCCAATTAAATGAATTACTTTCTACACCTCAAGTTGTTTCTAGAAAATAGCCCAGACCAATAGCACATTATATTGAACATCTTGTGCATTCCTAATTTTATCTGAAGTAGATTTTCGTAGCGTTTACAAGCTGTAACACAAACAGATAAAGCGTCATATCACCATTAATTTGAATTAATAATAGTCTGCTGCTGTGTATTAATAAGATTTGTTTGTGATGAATTAACTTCCGCTGATGCTACTGCCCGTACAGTTGCATCCACAGATCCACGTGCTCGTGCGCTTAATTCTGAATTGCCATGTCCACGTACTGTTGAATGCGTCCTTTCGTGCTTCGTTAAATGATCTGATCGCATAAATTTCTTGCCACAGTGACCACAAGCAAAACGTTTCTCACCTAAGAAAAAAAATCTATTTCATATCAAGCTTTCTACTTAGGGTTTATCCAAAAAGACCCCGAAACCAAAAAATGAAGACAAACCAGTATGAGTCCTACGATGCCGCTGCAATTCATCGGAACGTGTGAACCTTTTTTGACAATGCGCCCAATCGCATGCAAACGGTTTTTGTCCTGCATGTCCTCTTAAATGCGCTCGTAAATGTGACGTCTTTCCGTAAGTTTTTTCACACAGATGACAAATGTGTAAACGCTGCTTCTCGCCACTTTTCACCCTCAAAGATGAACACAATCAATGATTGTTTTGCTTGAACGTTGATGAAAAACTGTGAAATTAAATCACAATTTAGGAATTCTCAATTAGTCCCTGCCAAACAATAGTGAAAAAACTTACAACTTATTATTGGTACTGCTTTGACAGTTAGGGCAATTACAAGCAGTTCTTTTGGGCGTTTTTTGCTGCTTGTATCCCAGTTGCTGGCCTACAGTTGAAGCACTTGGTGTAGCATCGAATTCATTTTGACGGTTGTAACGATATCCTTGATTGGGTGTCTCTGATGTATCACTTGCTGCTGTGGTAATTATCCACTTCTGGGGATCATTCGGATCTTGGATGAAATGCAAATTCCCTGCAACAAAGTGATCAAAAAAGAAAAATCCTTCGTTTGCTTTCATTATGTGATATGAAGTGGAGATATCAACTTTAGCGATTAAAGAGTGGCATTTACATACACGCTTACTTTGTGAGAATGATACAACAAAGTCGATCTGGAATATGATTAATTGCATGAGACATTTTTCACACCAACCACTCCAATAGCCTCTCCAGGATATAATTTAATTTTTCCATTCCCTCGTATTAACGCAAAATTATCGTTTGATCAGTCAATTCTTTTTTTTTTAGTTACAATATTTTTGCAAGAAATGGATCCAGAATTGAACTATGTAAAGTTTAAATTAAGTGCAAACTTTAAGTTTAATCAGTAAATTCGATAAACAAACCTAATTTTATCCTTTGTTGAGTAGTGACGCCATTCGCACTACCATCATCTATTTCTTGCTTTGTATTTGTTTGCTGTGGTTGTTGCATTTCCACATTTCGCATCTGTTGTAAAGTCTGCTGCTGCAGATGATGAGGTTGCGCATGCAAACTGGCTAATACTGGTTTCGTATCTGGAGCTGGATGCATCTGTAGCGGTATAAATGCTATCTAAAAACATTTAATTGATCACAAATTTTTATATCCAAAATTCACAATTTTACCTTAACTAAAAGCAAAGACATTTTCATGCAAATGAAAGGAATGAAAATAGAAAAATAAATCCAATGGCCGAATCTAGTCAGAAGAGACCCCCATTAAACTTATCTTATAATTTTAGTAATTCATCATTCATCATCGCAACAATGATTGATGAATTCTGAAATATGTGGTTTGCAATAATTTATTTGTTCGTTAGTCCAATGCATAGCTTTATTCCTTCCTTATTTGAAATTTCCGACAAATCGAAAAAAATCAACAAATTCAAGTCATTTTTTCGGGAAAATAATTTGAAGTTGAAAAAGCAAAAAAACCTGTTGCGGTGCCTGGTTGGGGCCAGCTGTAGGTTGTTGTACAATATAAAACTGATTAGTCTGCTGAATACCGGCAGGTTGAATTGGTATTGAAGGGCCTAGAAACACCGCTGCAAATCTTGATAAAAAAATACCGATGAGAAAAAATCGGAAATGAAACGACCATAAGTTGTATTAAAACCCAAGTATATTGCTAGATTAGCGAACTCATAACATGATAAAAATTTCTGCTTTATTCAACTTTTTATAGATGTTCATTTAGTTGCATATATCTTCCATCGCTTCAAGTTATTAACGCTGAAAAAACCCACACACCGTGCTCTCGTTCATTTAACTCACTTGTTCAGCAACAAGCAGATTTGGTCCAAACCAAACGTATGTGTGATTCAGATTAAAAGATAAGCACAGATTTAGTCCACTATTAATCCTTGAAGTTAGAAAAAACTCTTTAAAAGCGGAATTTGTAAAGAATATTCCGAAACGCAAATGTCCTCTCATGTTCTGCTTCGCTGTAAAATGATGCAAAATCTTACTAGCAATTGCCGGCTGCTGTATTACTAGGAATTGTTGAGTTTGTCCTGGTCCTGTGACCGGTATAAGCTGAACTTGCGTCGGTTGCTGTCCACTCTGATTTTGAGTGGCAATTGGTATGAACTGAACCTGAAAAGTTTCCAAACAAAATGCGCAGGTTTCTAAGAGTAATTAAAAGAAATAAATTTGGAATTTAAAGTACAAATCTTGATTTGTAAATGCAAAGAGAAAAAACTGCATTGTACGAATGATGGCACTTGGAAATCTGCATTTTTTGATAAGTAAAGTTGAGATAAGATACCATATGTCTACAAGTTTTCATTGCCTCAACCATCAAAAATAACGAAATTAGACATAGTTTTAAGAGAACTATAAATTCATACCGAAATGTGAAAGAGTATGAAAAAGGAATACGCAATACATTTCCGTGCATATTACTCGTCTTCTATTTCATTTTTCTAATCTGGAAAATGAATCCGGTGAGCTGAAAGGTAAAATGAATGACGTGTTACCTGCTGATGTTGTATGGATGCAGCCTGAGGCTGAGGCTGCTGTGCCACGGCAGAAGTACCATTAGTACCGGCGCTACCGCTGATGGGTTTCGGCAATATGGGAGTGTCCTGCGTCGTTGGGGGTTGTGTCGTAGAGGGCGATGGCGCAGCCGGATTGGACGATGGTTGCTTGGGCAGGATAGGGGTGGTCTCAGCCATTACGGGGCGGGGGCCACCTATTGCTACTGCTGCTGCCTCTTTCCTACACGGATCACACGAGGCGGAGGCAGGCGTGCTGCGACGTGTCAACCCTTGCGGCTATACGTCACCACACACTTACGTTTACTCTTGCTCGGGGTGGCGCAAGCCTACGCAACGCACTGACAATTAGGGTAAGGAATGGGAAGAAAGAAAGCACACCTCTCTCCCGGTCTCTACCAATCGATTCAGCCAACTTCGATGGGACGAATGGGCGGAGCATGGAATTAATGCGGCCCATCTTCTTGATGGGTGTGTTCCTATGCGAAAATGGGCGTGGTAGCGAGCTAAAATCAGGGACGACTTATTGCATTGGGGGTGGGTGACATTAACAATAACTTTTCCGACACCTGAACGAAACCCGAAGACAAATAAGCTTTCGTTTTACTGCTTTATTACTTGCTTTACAGTACCGTACTGCATTGCTATTATAAGCAAAGGACATTTGCATTGTTATAAAGCTTGCAAAGACCCGTTGCCACAAATAAAGGGCGATATTGAAAATTGTGAATCGTGCTCCTCTGTTGCTTTTCACAGGCCATAATTAAGTAGTTTGATGGCTTCACAAATATGCTACTCAACAAAAGCAGTTCATAAACTGATTCTCCCATGACCGCGATGTCGCATTCAACCGCAAGAGCTCATTAGTAAGATTTTCGTGGGTTCATTAACCGAATTTTTTGATTTGATTTACCGCCTTACTTCCCATAGTTAATTATCTTGTTCACGGTTTTGTTTTGTTCCTGAGCATACAACACAGTCTCATTTGTGTCATTTATTGAACAAACAGTATGATATTAACAAATGAACAATAAAGAACCATAAAAATTCCTGTTCCATACTGTCCTCCTAAGCGTTTATGTTTTAATTCCTACAGCTGAGAAGCAGTACATGAATAGTGACTGTATGCTATTAAGCCTTAGCATTGCATTCTTTTTCAGGTTAGTCCTAATAGAGCAAACCACCTCAATTTTTATCGGTCAAAGCTAGTTCACTTCTTCTTAGTAGTAAGACCAGCACCAGCATTAAATTTAAACAAAATTATATCACCATCTTCAACGATGTAATTTCTGCCTTGTTGACGATACTTCCCTGCTGCTTTTACAGCATTTTCACTGCCCAACTCCATCAAGTCACTCACTTTATATACTTCAGCCATAATGAATCCCTTCTCAAAATCCGTATGAATTCTTCCAGCCGCTTGCGGCGCTTTTGTTCCTTTCTTCAAAAGACAGTACCGACTAATTTGCTATTAAAAGTAATTTTGAAATCCTTAACAAATGGTACTTTCAACTATGACTTTAAAATTACAATCAAAATTACAATCTTGCCTGAATTGTCCACGCTTTTACTTCATCCTTACCACACGTGAAAAAGTATTCAAGTTGTAGCGCCTTATAGCCGGTCTTCACAATTTTATCCAATGCGCTAAAACGATCTGCCAATAGACATAAATAGAGAAATGGAAGAAGGATATGTAAAAACAAATGTACTAACACAAACAGTCTATTAGATCCAGTTTGAAAAACCATCACGGAAACACACCTTGTTGTATTCTGTTCTTTCAAAAAAGTGAGTCGCTCATTTTCTGGCATTTCCATAAGTTTCAACTCCAACGTACCGCTAAATGGAATGCAAACTGCGTGTGGGTCATTTTCATCCAACCAGGTTTTAATTTTTGATAGCCATTTATTCTTCTGTAAATGTAAAATATATTCACTGTCATCGAACGTCTTGCAACTATTCTTAAAATGCAGCATTATTATTTGAAAACTTACTTTCCTGATATAGTCTGCATCCGAAAGATTAATCAAATAAACAATGGGCTTAGCCGTCAACAGAAGGTGGTGATTCAGTACTTCCACTTCTTTTTCATTCCATATCATCAGACGAACAGGTTGACCGTCCTCTTCTAACAGTTTTTTCACCTACAATTAAAAAGTTAGGGTATTTTCATTTTCTTCAGTTTTTTAAATATTTTTTTTTTCTGTTGAGATCACCTTTAGTAGTGTTTCATACTCCAGTTTTTTGCTTTTATCACCACCTCTTACAACAACTTTCTCCATTTTATCTGTAGCGCCTTCCAAATACTGCAGATCTTTCTTGATAAGTTCTTTTTGTATTATATCAAGATCTCGAACTGGATTAACTTCACCTTCCACATGTGTCACATTGTCGTCATCAAAAGCACTGAAACAACAGTTCTGCTTTCTAATCATTATTTCAAATTCATGAGGCACTCTATATAATAGTAGATAAGGGCTGTGGTCAGTTTGTTTTGTTTCTTATCATTTTTCCCCATGCATAAATTTGGTAGTTTGAACTTGATCGTATAGCAAAACAGTACTCCATTCATATAAGCAAAATCATACTTTTACAATTGAATCCCATTCATTCTTTTTCAGATTTCATAAGAGGATTGTATGAAGGCGCAAAGGAACTACTATTAATAATTGAAGCTCATTACTGACCGACAGAGATGAAAAATCGCATCGCACGCACTAACGTGTGATAGGAAAGCATTGCCAAGGCCCAATCCTTCAGAAGCGCCACTCACCAAGCCAGCAATATCAACAACATTTAAAAATGCCGGCACTCTACTAAGCGGTTTGAAATGTTGTACCAACCAATCGAAACGGTTATCACTAACGGGTACGCGACCTAAAGCAATAATGAACTTAATTGTATGATTAGAAAATGAAATAAACGATGGTTGGAAATAATAAATAAAAAAAAGTGAATGAAGAAGAAACATGAAAATTGAAGGAATATTGCTTTCATTAAAACCGATAATATTTCTGTAAAATGAATGCTATCTTTCCGAGTGCTTTTAAGATCCAGAAATTTAAAGCAACTGATTTTATACCACTAGAAATGAGATAAATAATCAGAGGTATTTTCTGAGATTGGCGAAAAAATAATGCAAAAAGCGAATTAATTATTTGAAACTCACTTTCGTTGGGATCGATTGTACAGAAAGGGAAGTTTTCTGCTTGTGCTTGACTTTTTGTTAGCACATTGAAAAAAGTGCTTTTTCCGACGTTTGGAACTCCAAGAATACCCATCTGAATTGAAAATAACCTATCATGTCATTTCTACATAACCACAATGGTATAATTACAGAGATGGATTACAGTTTTTGAGATAAATAGACTATGATTCCAACGGCGTATTCACGTCTTATTAACAAAAAAAATCTCAATCGATCACAACAAAAGAATGGCAGCAAGAACCGGACAATGCCAAATCACGACGGAACGTCCAAAAAGTTTCAAACTAATACGGAAGAAGTTGCAGTGTTTGACTCAAAGAGAGTCAACCAGTTCAAGCGGGGAAAGCTTAAGCCATCATCGTGTGGGCAAAATAGAAATGATCTCAATTACCATATAGAAAGCATGCATCAGGCATTCATGAAAGCATCAGAGAATACAAAATAATACGCTTGTGATTCATTTCATAAGCGCCGATAAATTTAAAAGTTATTCCATTGATAACTTCTCCATCAGACAAAAAATTATGATTAAAACAAGAGTAAGACGATACAACCTTTAAATTTGTTCCTATCCGTCCCATTAGGGGTAAACGCTCTTCTGCATCACTTTTCTTTTTCGGTGGCATTGTTTGTTCACTTATTATTAAACAGGCCGAATTGCTAAAAAAAAAAAGGCCATAATGAGCTTGGCAGTGAACATGCTACTCGTTGAAACAGTTCAAAAATCATGCCTACTAAAATTGAGTCAAACATACTAATGTAACTATATTATTATTACATCCGTTGTGAAGAACGACCTGTAGATAAACTAAAAAGATAGACGAATACAACGGTAGTTTGATCCGAATTTTTCTCAGGATAAAAAAAACGAGGATAAAGGAGCACCATATTATTTAATGAAGCTCTAGCAGAGAAGATCGGAATTGTTTATTGCTAGGAATGTAAGACATCGTTAACCAATTAAATGAATCTGTTTCCAATAACATTAATAATGTATTATAAAGAAGTATCTGTTTATTTGTAGGAATGCAAAAAATCGCTAGTTAGTGTGGAACAATATTTTTTTAAACTTTATTTGAAAAAAAATACAAAACACAAAAATATATGTAAAAGAGTGAAAAACAACAAAAATATATATAAAAGAGTGAAAAAAAAAACAATTTCCGAGAGTTAATGATACATTGGTCCTCGTGGTGGGAAAACTTGAGGGACAACAAAGGGTGGTGCTCCAGGCATTGGTTGAGGCTGCATCATTCCCATACCAGGACCGCCAATTCCACGTACTGCTCCTTGCAAACCTGAAAATTATAGAAGGTAATATTTAATAGATTCGATAATTGAATATCACTATTTGAATATAATCTTCCGAATATATGCTTTCATTGCCGTAAAGATTAATCCAGCAATGAAGTATTAAATAAAGTTTTCCTCACAGTTTGAAACATCCAGTCCTGTATTATACACAATAAGAAATTCCAATTTGAAAAAATTCAACCCCTCTATATGGTGAAGTAAGATTTTCCCCCTTAGCCGTGGACTTGCAAAACCATATAGAGCGCTTCAGTTTTCTTCATTTTCTTTTTCTCTCCTCATCCAAACCTTAAAGTTCCCGTGCTTAGAAAAAATTAAAAGCATTAACCAGGGGCAGGCCCAGGAGGTCCGACCATAGGTGATCCCATGCCACGTCCAGCTGGTTTTGCTGCACCAGGTCCACCAATATTTCCGGCCTTTCCCTGTTGTTTTGAATCCTCATCCTGTTCATTAGATTGAACAGTCATTGAAACTATGTGTTCACCACGCAACAACACCAAACCCAGCGTTCGTTTCTCTTCTCCCTAAAAAAACTACACACATTTGAATTGTATAAAAAAGATGACGGATTTACAATCATATATATGTACATAAAAACTGGAAGTCCGCAAATATTAAGTAACCATATCAGATTAATAACTACAGACGACTTACTGACTTACATGAGTCACACTTTTCCTAAAAAAGCATGAATAAAACTTCAGCATTTCAAATTGTGCAACATATTCACTTTAGATATAAATTTAGATATTTTGTTATAAATCACATTACCTCAGCAATCTTTTTGCCAGGTTTTGGTTTAATCCGACGCAGTTCTTCACAATCGCACAAGAGTATGTTCATATGTTTATCGAAAGCTAAAGTAAGTCGTTACAAAAATTAAAAAAGGTGTGATATCTACTAGCCTTTGATATGTTAACGTAAGATGCGATAGTTCAGAATAAAAAGATATAAGTGGGATGCAAAATATGAAATGCTGCACAGCAACATCATTAAAGATCAAATTTTCAAGCTTCATAACAGATGAGCAAAAGAGTTGGGTATACCTTTGAAGTAGCCAACGAAAGTTCTAGAATCCAATAATACCACCTTCATCTTACGGTTCAAATGAGACATCATTTTATTGTTTTTGCTGATCGTCTGTAAAAAGTAGTATCTCAAAACTGTTATTGAACAAAAATAAATTTTGGTATCTAAAGTAAATGAATAAATATTTAAATAAAGCATGAAAACTATTGCCGAAGACAGCTCAACTCACAAAAAATTATATCATTTGAATTATCACTTATTCAATGTAGATGAAAATGCTAGGGCACTAATATGAGATAAAGTACAATTCAGAGTGCTTAAATTTATTAGGCAGTGACCAAGAAAAAGATGAATAAATCAAACTGATCCCACTTACCATTATGATAGTTTTGAAATCTTATTTTCTGAGCAACTGTAAATGAAAACCTGTAAATAATAAAGACACTGCAGAAACACTGAAAAAAAGTCATGTAAAGGTTGATAATCAACGGATGCTGAATCTTTTTTACGAGATTCGTTATAATGAGTTTGCAAATTTTACTGAGTCACAGTAGCATGGTCAAGGAAAGAACGATTCAAATTTGAACAGAAAAGAAAGGATATTCCTCCCCAAGAACACTCTCTGACTGGGACTTCCGTCTGGAAACCCTACATCTTCCTGAATAACCCCAAGTCCGCAGCGCCTGATCTCAAGCTAACAGTGTTTACACTAACTCATCTTACCCAAAACTTCGCGACATTAGAGGCGGGGTCAATCGTCGCCCCACCCAGACGCTTTGTATCAGTAACAACTTCAGCAGATAGGAACTACAAACGCTGGAGATAGCAATTTGCCTTCCCTTTAAATGTACGTTGTAGGAAAGATCAGAATAGCTAGAAAAGCATGCTGCAAGCACGTAAAAGGATTTATTTAAAACATTAACACAAAAATAATTGATAAAAATATAACATCGGAATATATATGATATTACAAACGGCTATATCAAAACAAACAGCAAATCCAAACTGACATTGGAACCCCTGTAAATGTAGATCGATGCCAAACAAGTTGACATTTTTTATATTTCGTCCTACATAAGAACATTTTTGTATGTTTAAATGAATTCTGTAACAACGAGAAAAGAAAGTCAAGGCAAATTCAACAGTTATAAATAAATGATGTTACTCCAACGATTAGTTTTTAATATAACAATATATTCTAAAAAATCCTTTTTATTTAAAAATATGGAACATTTCAAAATATTTTCATTTAAGAACTTTAATCATGATAAAACCTATCAAAGCATCGAATAATTTATATTCCAACTCTGTATTTCAATTACTAGTTAATTTGCACATAAATAAGCTTTGTGATTGGCCATATTCAAATTCAAACAAAATATGAAAATCAAAAAAAATCACTTCAGCCCGGCAGCTTTTTTTGCTGCTTCTTCTGCTTCCGCTTCTATTCTTTCAGCATCAACAACTTTAATGAGTTCTTCCACTTCTTCAGTTGGAAGAATCCGATAGTCCACTGTACGTCCCTAAACAGAGGACTATTTCAATAAAATTTATAGCGTGCAGAAGAAAAAGAAAGTAATTGCCTTCTCTAAGAAAATATTAGCAATTTTCACAAATGGAGCAGAAAAATATAAACACATATTCCTTTATTCAATATAATATGATAAAAAGGCAGTCAATTTACTTGCAAAGAGTAAAAGCTGATCATTTAACAGTCTCTATGATTTTTTACTGAAAAATGGTAGTAATAAAATGACTCAATGTAATTCTTTTAATGATTGTTTACAACTGTAATGAAAAAAAGAATAATAACCGGTTCAGTGGACAACTTCATGACAGCAATTTCGATATTCTGAGCACCACTTTGAACCACCTGTGATAAAGCTTTCACTACCAGTTTTAAAACGCTTGCTTCATCCGCTGTTGTTTCATCATTGTAGTGCTCTTCCAGGTACTCTCGAACTGGTTTCTCACCACGACCTGTCGAATTTGCCTGCAAACTGTATTCAGTAGTTAACTAAAAAGTTTCAAAATTGGAACAGAAAACTATAAACACAACTTCTTTATTCAATCTAATATGATAGGCAGATGAATGAATGAAACGCTCCACCAAGCAGAACACCAAGGTGCAGTGTACAGTTAAATAACCTATTTAGATCCGCATAAGATATATTAGAAAGTTTAAATACTATAAATAAACAATAAAATTCCAATTTCAGCAGTTCAGTTAAAAAATACCCATTAAACCATTTTATGATTATATACTGTTTTTACTAGACACAAAAACTAACAGAATATTCGTAATATGCTCCTGAAGGTTCCGTTTTGAATAATCGAGGAGTTCCATCAAAATCAAAGCCACCAACAAGCATTGATATGCCGAAAGGTCTCCTTCCTGGGCTTTGCGTAAATCTCTGCAAAATGCGTAATGTAGAAATATATAATTGTGCCAAATTTTGTAACTTGAATAATATGAACAGCACAATTCGAAACAAATAATCAAACAACAAACTTGTTTAGTGTTCGCAATAAATCGTGCAATATATCCTACCGTAACGGGATCTTCAAGCGTCAGTTTATATGACTGACATTCAATTCGTGCTCTATCCACTAAAACGCGTGCATCTGCACTAAGACCTGCAAAAATATGCTGACGTAATAAATTATATCAGATTTGGCTCTAATAACGACACTCGAATCATTTAGCAGAGTTTTTTACAAAATTAAACTGTGGTCTAATATGAATATTATTAGCATAATAATAAAGATCCACAAATTATAACGACTTTTGTTAAGGCATTTAAAAAGTAATTTGTAATAAAAGCTGAAAAAACTATGAATTATAGATCTGAAATAGTGTGACCTACTTTTACAAAATGGAAACGATCTTCGAAATTTTACATCAAACAATTAACCAATGTAACCTCCTAAATAACTTATAGTACAACGCCATTTCTCTCTAGAAATCATTCATGGCCACAGAATGATATATAGCTATGTTATCACCAAAAGTCGAATTATGTGAAATAGGCAACCTGCAAATGCAAGCATAACATGCTCATCGATACTATGAATTTTGCGTATGGTGCGATCATCCTGCAATGTTGGTATCGACTTTTTCTCGACACCGATCACAACACAGTTTTTACCTCGTACACCAACCTACAACATTAATGAGGAAACAGAAGGATGTCAATAGAAAAACGATTCGTCTTATAAAAATTTTAATATAGGATCACAAAGAGCTCCGTGACAATAAAGGGAGGTGAAAAAAACTCGTCACATCAAAGAACTGAAATTACCGCAGTTGATCCTTTCTTGACCGCTTCTTGTGCGTACTCAACTTGAAACAGATGACCGTCCGGTGAGAAGATTGTAATGGCACGGTCATATCTCTCCATTCCTGAAGATACTTATTTACACTTTTGATGAATTCAACCATGGATGTCCTTTTTCTTCCTACCGCCCGTCATTTATGTTTCTGTGTAGCATGCAAAACAGATTTGCAACCTGCATGCTGCCACACTTCCCTTCTACCGCCAACCCTCAACTGTCACTACTGGAATAACGTAAAGCATCTCATTCCGATCGCAAATTGACTACGAATCTGTAACGATCTCACAGATATAGTGTGGTGTGGTGTAGTGCAGTGCAACGTAACATTACGTCATAACTCTTCGTTGTTCTTTGCCCGTTGCAAGCAGTTCCTTTCTTTCTCTCTCTCTACTGACCCTCTGCAGGACATATGTGTTATCGCCTAGATTTCTGAACTGTCTGTTGTTTCACAATTTTGATATTCCGGAAAATGTGCTGATGAGAACAAATCAATACACTGCGGACATCGATCTCGCAATAAGATCGTACGCAAGAAGTATTTCATGGAAGTGAGGTCATAGGGTCAATAGCTTCCTGAATTTGTCCTTACTTCTCTGACCCTTTATCCACTCCTGCCTTGCCATTACAAATTTCATTTATGCAAAAGTGGAAATAAAACAGTGATTAATGAAACATTCAATTTGTCATCTCATCTTATCGTTTCGATGTCTTTCGGTAGGTTGCTTGCGTTTTTCCGGGTGGTGAGAATATCTGTAAAGAGAGGTCACCCGAAAAGTTACTTTTCTTGACTTTTTCTGCCAAATCTATTTGATTATGACTGAGTGACACGCATGACTAATTTGAAAGTTTAAGCATTCATCTGTGACACCAATCGGAAATACTATTGCCCGCAGGCAAGAGTTTTAGTCGCTGTTGTCCATTTAAGACTGTGCTGTGAATTTCGTATTGATTCGTATTGAACTATGACCTTATATGAGGAAGTTATTGTCTTTGTTAACTAAACGAATAAAGCAAACTGTCATGGTTTGTTTTTCAGCAATAAGGATAATCATCACGTTATGTTTGAGTTCGATATGGTGTTTCCAAGATGTTAAGGATAAGAGAAGTGGTGAAAATGACCAGTGGATACTGTCGTCTAAAACTGGAGAAAATGAGTGTAAGGGTGATGAGAATGAATGGATAAAGCCGACCGTTATCGGCTATTTGGTTGGTCTGCTTATTGGTGCGATTTTTGGTATTGTTCTCTGTGTCGCATCCATTTATCACTGTATCCTCAAGAATCTCAAATTCTTCTCGTGATCCAGAACTGAATGTCTGTTATTTATAATTATTTTCTGTCAAATATAAATATATCATGTTTGTAATATGTCAATTTCATTTGTGATGTGATGTTTCTGCACTATGACCGTCGCTTTGGTCATCGGATCAGTTCTGAAACAGTCGACACTAACAAGACAAGCTATATGATGTCTGCTCAGTTACAGCTGAAGTGAAGATTCATCTCAGAGTTTCTCGAGTGATATCCCGATGATTTCTTGGCCTGCTATTTTATGTCAATCAAATCTCCTGAAATTAACTCTTAACATCTTTCCACGGCCAAAATAAATTATTTCAAGGGAAGCTTTCAAAAGATTTTCCTGATGCAGTTTATTCTGGCAGCACATATGCAAATTTTTGAAAGTTAGATTTGATGGACAGAAATTTAAATTACAACTGCTTGACTGTTTTTTTTTTAATTTAAGCGAAGCATCAACGTTTGAGATGTTGTCCGGTGAGTTAGTAGTGGTTTTTAAAGATTTTTTTTAAAAAAAGAATGTAGACAAGTTCCCCGAACTGATACCGAAGTGAAGAGGTACAAGAATTAATTTCAACTTAATAGATTGATGTTTGTTTATGAGAGAAATTGGCATAAACAAATGCTTCATCCGATAGCTTCACCTGTGCTATTCCACTTTCGTTTAAGTTTAACATCGTTTCACACTAAAACAATACTGCATTCCTGTTTGAAACTGCTTTTCAGGTTTTAAGCATTTATTATTTCAGTATACAAATTGATGCTGATATGCTTTACCATAGTTCGATGCCAACAATTATCGAATCATCAATTGAATCTATCCAATTCCAATCGTGAATTACTGACAGATGATTGGATGATAGGAGATGAGGATGATGGAAATTGTGATGATGTAGATAAAGCCTCATGGGGTCGATACTTTTATCGTGGCATAATAGTTGGCTTTTTAATTGGCTTAAGTGGTGGTATTCTGCTTGGCTTTCTTTGCTGGCAAATTCAGGTACACAAGGAAGACTACAAGGAAGACTACAATTTATAATTGAACGGATTTAATTAATTTATATTCCATATCCATTTCAAACCTCTAATCAGTCATATTATGAGAAATTTTATAACATCCTATCTAGGCCTACTTCTTTCAAATTTATTATCGTATTTCATTTTCAATATTTGTCCGACAATAATATTCCAGGGATAAAAACTAATCAGTTTTATTCCTCAAATCACAAATGAGTAAATAATATTGCTCAAGCTTTTAACATTGTTATTAAATATGAAATTTGCATCTTTATCATTGAAATCTTTATTGTATAAAGTCATTTTTAATGGTGCTGTCTTCATAAGCTCAGTTTAATAAATTAAAAATGGATATTGGTGATAAGAGTAATGTAATGGACGCGAAAAACAGTAAAACTGAATCTTATGACAATTTTATGAGCTGTGATTAAGCATATCAATGGATGAACTTTTAAGCTTTTTTTCGGAATCGTCTTTCTTTCTTTCTTTCTCTCTCTCTCTTAATCCCATCGTATGATATGTTAATGTTAATGATAAATAATCATATCAATTGAATGGAAGTCACACAGCGCCACTCGAATATGATGTCTGAACATGACGACTGCAAATAAAAGCTTTTGATGTTTATGAAAATCACTGCATCTAAAATAAAGAATGTGCAAGTTTCCAACTATCATAATCTTAAGCTTACATCATGAAAAACAATATCAAAACTTCAATTATCAAATTAGTGATCGAGAACATTTTTGTTTTAAATCCAAATTTTTTAGCCTCATTTTACACTTTCAAGATCTATTAAAAAAATTCCCATCCATCTTTTATTTTAGAATTTCCATTCTCTTATTTTTTCAGTACTAGAAAAAAATATTTATTGGCGGGTAACTTATCGTACTTTACTTATAATATTATTATACTAGTAATAACATTCTTGATAATTCTGTATTCATTGAAATCGTGAACATAATTACAGCATTTAAGTATCCTGTTTTATTTAAAGAAAATTATTTAATTCAAACTTATCATACACTTTTTTATCATTAATAATTTCTCCTCCCTTTCCTATATCCGTACTCCTTTCCGTTATACCGAATTAAAGTTTCTGATAACGAACAACAATTTCTAGTATTCAGCCAATGCGATTTGTTATGTCAAATTTTTGCATCGGAAATTTTTTTTAAAAAGACGCAAACTTCACGGAAATGAAAAAATGCCTGGCAAATAAAAAAAAGATTGGGTCAGAAATTAGAAAATACTTCCTGAGAGGTCAAGAATTGTGGTATACTTTTTGAGGGATCATGAGCTAGGATATATTTACTAAACGTGAAAAACATGGAAGAGAAATGGATGTAATTGATTTGCTTCAACATTTCCTGAAATTTATTTTCACAATTTTTGAATTAGTAATGAATTTTGTATATAAAAATGATTTTTTGAATTTTAAGATAAACGGGAAGACAACAAATTTTCGAAATATGCATATGCATATGTAGTGAAAGTTAGAGATGTCAAAGATTAAATGTATGCCGCATTTAATAGACAATTTAAATTTCCTGAACATCTTCAGATTTCAATCAAAACATTCATAAAAGATATTACAATTGAAAAATTATTGCATATTGCGATTTTAAATATGATACGACAATGTTATCACCTTTTGACCGCAATTCAGTTCGCATAATTAAGTTTTCAGCTATTTTTAAAAAAGCTAATTTCATAAATTCTGTTGAAAATGTCACAAAAAGGTTTATATCGTACATTATTACTGCTTTTGTGTATTGAAAGTTTTCACAACTGTTATGTATGAAGTTAAATACTAATTAAAATGGATTGTTTGGTACATTATAACACTTTTGAAAAAAAATTATTAATCCTTCTTGACTGTTACAACTAGCATTACAACAGCTTTATGTGAGTGAGATCTGTTAACGAATGAAATATGTCATCTAATTTCAGTAAAGTTGATCTGTTTCGTTACTGATAATTAATTTTGTCAGCTAAATTAAAATTTAATTAAACAATCTATACATTGATTAAATGCATCATTTAAATAATAGCACAAACATAAAAACATAAAAAGATAAAAGATAAAAAGTTGCAAAACTTTTTATGTTTTATGAACTCGAATGACCGTCATACGCTAAGTTAATTACGCTTACGTAATTAAACTTTGATTAATGAATTAACTGATCAAATTTACTGTGATTCAAATCTGGTAAATCTATAATGCTTGTTAACGCAATTATCAAATTCATAACAGAGTTTTTCAGGGTAGAATAAATGTTATGTGACCCTCTTATGATAGGGCAAAATGCTCCTACAATATAATAATTATTACAAAAATAATTGCTAACTAAAAATTATACATAATTGATAAGCTGAAAGCAAAAAGACAACAAAATTTTTTCACATCTCATCTAGAAGAATAAGCCAAGCTTCACGTAGAGAATTAGGTCATGTAGAAAAATGACGTAAGTTTGTCACTACTTCTTCACCTTGACATATTAAAAGGTCAGCGTGTTTTGAAGTAAATATTATACTGGCTTATACTCATAAATTAGGAATTATTACAATCATCCATCGATCTATTATTGAGCATTTGTTTTCAAAGTGATATGAAAGTTCAAGCAATAATTATCTTAGATTAATAATTAGCAAAAGATATATGAACTGGTTGCATCTCAAAATACATTAATGATTTTGAGAATTTCAAAAACTGATGGAACAGATGATGGAATCGTTGATCACTTTTTCCAAATCACTCTTCACGGTAACACTCCATCTTCATTTTTCAAATTTCACATATGTTCACAATGAATACTGTTCCTTTACTGCTTTTCTTCCTTTTCCTCGCAAATGTCACCATTGTTTCAGCCTAATTTCTTTTTCCTTTTTTTGTTCACATTTCAATGACGATAAAATAATGTTTTACTTTTCGCGCAACATAACAATGATATTGAAATTCTTATGAAAATATAAAATGTAAAAATTTTAAATATAAAAAATTGAAAACAAAAAATATACATATATAAAATGTAAAATGTTAATTATAGAAAATGATATGAAATTTCCGATTCATTTTTCATTTTTTTTTTCAATTACCATATTATATGCTATAAATGTCTTTATCTTTCTAGCATTCATATCATTTGGAACGCAAAATTTCCAACTAAAAATGTCATAAATTTATTTGATTTATTTAAATAAAATATCTTTCCCATCTTTTTCTTCTTCTGTGTTAAACTTTTCGCGCAATCATTTACTGAGACAATTTTGAAAATGGTTAAAATTTCAAAATCGGCAAACATGAATAATGCACTCACTGAATTCAATTGATATGAACAATTGTGATGACATAATTTTGCTGTGACAGTTATCGTTAATGCGCCGCTTACTGCTACTACTCACATATGCAAATTACGCCATTATATAAAAGAGGAAAATTGTCAGTTGGAAAATGGGAAAAAAATTGGTCGGTATAATCAAAATGTTTTTTTACACTTTACAATTATTTTGAGGTTTGATATATGCAATTAATTATTCATTTTGTGAAGTAACTAGCGCTCCTTTGATAATGCGCAAATTTATTCGATGTGAAGAATACACTGAAACTCATTTCATCCATTTTTTCCCTTCATTTTCTGTATGAGAAGAAACAAATAAGGATATTGTTGCGCAGTGGCGCAAATTGATATTATCAGTTTACAAGTTTGTTTTACGCATAATCTTCACTTATTGATAAATTGCTAAGTCTTTCAGTCATGTATTATTATGTGGTGGATGATTTGAGATACCATTAGTATATCTTTTATTACAATTGAGAGTCACCGAACTTTCGATATATCATCGACAATTGTTGAATTGCACCGAACTGATGGTATATTGATAAAAGCTATTTAACTGATATGAAACATTTCTGTGGCTTTTGTTTAAAATATTTGCCGTTAATCCAATCCGGTTTGAGGTACTTTAATTTATTGAGAAATATTAAATCACTGCTTGACTATTGTAAAATACAGAACTTCAAAATTAATAAAAAGTCGACCGTTAGCAAAATAGAATTTTTTTAAATTTTTTATAACTTTCCAAAATTTTTTGTATGTCTTTAATAATTTTACCGGAAAAAAATGTCTTCAGATTTTTATGAAAAGTGAAAATTAAATATGGAAATAAAAGGTAGTTTTCAATTTAAAAATCAATCTCTCCATTTTTGGATTTTTTTGAGACAATTATTAATCAGTTCAAATAATTTTCGCAATTTGGCAAACAACACTTCATAGCTATCCGCAACTTTCTATATATCAGTCCCATACTTTGAATTGATATTTACACAGCTTTGGATGTTCTCGAATCATGAAATGTATTTCATTTTTGAAAAAATGGGATGGTGCTCATTTCACTTCTATAAAATCATTTTCGCTATCAGTCCGGAAGAACGAATACTTCTTCCATTCGTCTATTACATTTCACTATAAGATATCAAATTTTGCTAATTATCTACATTTCACGTAATTATCATTATTAATTACTAAATAAATTAGGTTTTTCGTTCCTGCAATACAATGCTTCATCTCCGGTACATGACAGTCATGATCCAATTATGACAGTAAGTCAATCACTACCATAATTAATCTACTGTTTCATCATTAATCATTATATTTGGCAGGGAAAACTTCGTAAAATAAAGACATTACCATTGTATAGAAATTTGTGTTATTTTAAAAGATCCCGAAGTTCTTTGAGATCTCTCATTGTGTGCGCTATTATACGGATTGTATAAAGCGGAAAAAATTACCGCTCATTAGCAGAATTAGCAAAATGATCAATTGTTTTATACTGTAATGTCACTCTTTGTAGAACAAGCGCTTCTCAATTAACTGATAAGCTCATTGTCCTTCGCTTAATTGAAAAGCAGTCGACTGCTGGAAATGCAATTTGTGCTAATTACTTGAATTGTATTTTTTTTAAAAGAAAATTCCAATTCTATCCGTATATATTATTCAATGTATTTTAGTTCCATTCTGA